GAATGAATACAATAGTGAACAAATGTTTCAGGAGGAATTAGCTATTTATAGTTTCAAAGCATCCCCTACAAGATATATATTAATGGAAAAGAGAAAATAGATATTTGGGAACCAGCAGTTAGCGTAATGACTATGTTGCTGGACTCCCACATAGTCGACCGTGGTTCACGTCCCGGACCCGGTGGCTTAAAACTCACGCCAGGCACATGTGTGTGCGTGCCCAAGATCCCGAGAGAAGAATGGAGGAGAAGGGATTGCGGTGTGACCATCCCACCCTTGGGGGTGATTTCTCGCTTTCTGTCTCTATGTCTCTGTCTGTCTGTCTGTCTGGTGAGCGCACGCGCCCTATAGCGAATAAAACCTCTCAAAAAGAAAAAAAAAAGAAAAAAGAAAAGAAAATAGATATTTTACAGTAGAGAAACCTGGCAGACACCATCTTATTCAAATGGTTGAAGTTAACATTACTAATAAGAGGATGAACCTCCAACTACGATGCACTTGAGAAAGACAAGCATCACCTCCAAGGAAGTTCTGCTCCCAGGGTATCACTTCAATCTGATCATGAGGAAATAGCAGAAAACTCCAAATTAACTGAAAATAAGTGGTCTACAGTCTTCAAAAACATCAGTGTCATGAAAGACAAAGGAAGGCTAGGAAATGTGCCAGATTAAAGGAGACCAAAAGAAAGGTCAGCAGGTGGCATAATGGTTAAGGCACTGGACTCCCATATGGCCAACCGTGGTTCACGTCCCAGAACTGGTGACTTGAAAATCATGCTGGGCACACGTACGTGCATGCCCAAAATCCCAGGAGGGGAATGGAGGAGAAGAGACCATGGCATGGCCATCCCCATGGGAAGTGATTTCTCACGTTCTCTCTTACTGTCTCTCTCTTATCCAATGAGTACACACATCCTATGGCAAAAACCTTTAAAATTATCTTTTTAAAAACAAAAAGAGGAGACTAAAAAGACAAGACAACCCACATCTTTCCTTTCTTCCCCCACATTCTCTTCCTTTCTCCCTCTTGTTTCCTTCCAATTTTATAATGCAAAATAATTTCAGAATTCTTGTGAGTTCCTTAGAAAACTATCCTACATAATTTTAGCCAAAAGAATAAAGAATTCAACAAGAGAAATGAAATCGCTGATCTCTATCCTTTCTTTTTCTCACATAACTCCCATTCCCCCTCAAGCAAGTTCTTCACCTGACAGTGAAACAGGTCTTAAGTTCCTCTTCTTTAAACAGCCAGAAAAAAGGCCACCCTGGATCTGATATTCCTGGCAGCTTCAGCCCTACTCCTCCCTTTTAGAAATGTCTGTGTCTGCTCTCCTTTTCCTCATCTCCCATGTCCCCATCATCCCATTACGAACTGTCTCTGCCCTTACTCCTCTATTGAAATGGCTCTTGCCAAAAGCACAAACCCAGTCCTGTAAGTAAAGATGATGGGCAGACACTGGGCCTCTTTCATCTACTGGTAGCATTTGACCTTGTTAACCACTCCTTCCTCTAGAAACACTCTCACGGTCCTCCCAGCCCCAGTTCTGGCTCTCCTCCAACAACTCTGACTGATCCTTCTCAATCTCCTTTACAGGGTCCTTTCACTCTGCCTATCCCTGAAGTGTGGATGCTCCCCGAAGTTCTTTCCTTATGCTTCTATTGTTTATTTGCTGAACTCCAGGCTGACTTTGCAACTGCCTAGTCGACACCCTTTTGGACTACTCATAAGCTTTCCAAAGTTGCATTTCCAAATCTGAACTTTCCACCTTGGCCAGGATGCCTCATCTGAGAGCATGGCACCAGAGCCTGGCATTTCTCTGATTCTCCCTCACCCTCCACCCTGCTCCATCATCCCCTCCATCTCCACTGTTCTGCAGCTGGTCGACCTACCACTCATCACCTCCCATTCATGGCACTTCAATAGCCACCCACTTCCGGTCTTGAACCACATTTCACTCTGCATTTTAAATATTAGAATAACGCAAGACTATGATGCAACTCCTCTGCTCAAAAATCTTCATTGGTGTCCTATGTCTTCAGCCTAGAGTCTTTACTGCTTCGGATGGCCCATGAGGCCCATCATTGTGACCACATTCTCCCAACCTTCTTTTCAGGTCCTTGAATAAGCCAAGTTCTTCCTCCCACCCACGGTGAAGAATGTGCTGTGGCCTTTGCCTAGAACATTCTTTCCTTTCTTGTTTCATATGGCTAACTTCTCTCATACTTCCTTTAAATGTAGAATGATATGTAGAGTGAGATGCATATTAACAGGGGCCTGGCTTTCCCTGTCCTGGTGCTTACATTCTTGAAGTGTCTGTTTGGTTCACACTAGACCAAGTTGTGTAGCATCTGTGACCATCCACCTTGCCTGCATTCTCAATCTAAGCCGCTGCCTGTAGCTCACAGGGATCCTTCTTTCATCATATGGGAACTTTATATTCTTCCAAATCACCATCTGTATAACACATTTTCTCTTTTTCTCCCATGACTGAATCATCAAGAAACATCTTTTTGACCAGTGACCTCATCCATTCAGCTCTCTTTCAAAAGAAGTTTCTAGATAGTAACTCACTTTTCTTCTGCCATTAGACCTATCAATGGAGCAATTTGGATTCCATTAATCCAAATTTTACCAGTATCAAACCTAATGATACTTGAGTAAAAACTCATTAATCCCATGACTGCAAATATTCAACTTGTTTTTTTTTTAGAGGTTTCTGCCTTAGAGTGTGTGTGTGTTCATTGGGGGGGTGGGGAGAGAGGGAGAGAGAGAGAGAGAATTTACTCCCTAGGGGAGATGGCCATGTCACAATCCCTTTTCCTTCATTTTCCTCCAAGGATCTTGGGCACACATGCACATGCAACCAGTATGATTTTGAAGCTACTGGTTCTGGGACTCAAACCGTGGTTGGTCATGTGGGAGTCCAGCCATGTAACCACTATGCCATCTGTTGGTTCCCAAATATTCAACTTTTTGCTAGCAAGAAAAAGTGATTTTTAAATAAATAGCTTATAAAATCAAGAATTCACATAACACATTTCCTTGTTTCAAATTTAATAAGTAATTTTTACAAAATAGCCCCCCCCCTTTTTTTAATTGCTGAAGGGTGTGTGTGTGTTAACCAGAGAGGAGAGGGAAAGAAAGATGGCATCCCCTAATGGAACATGGTCATGTCACAATCTCCTTTTCTCCATTTCTCCATCCCATCAGAATCCTGGGCATACATGCACATGTGTCCAGTGTGATTTTCAAGCTACTAGGGCTGGAATTCTAACCATAGCTGGTCATGTGGGATCTAGCTCTCTGCTTAACTGCTATACTATGTGTCTGGCCCAAATAATCTTTTTTAGTTATAATACAGCACATTAAAATATAAGGCATAGTGAACTGAGATTTTGCACCACTCTATCTTATTCTATTAATACTTATTAGAAGATATGTAACAAAATGTAAATGATTTTTTAAAAAATTTTCAGCTCTGAGAGAACCTAGTCCAGACAAATAAAGACTTATCTTTTTTTTTTGTTGTTTTAACTGAGAGCCATGTTCTGCTCTGAACAGGTCACCAAAGAAGGTCATTGTGACTGCTAATTAAGGGAAGGGACCTCATCTTTTTCCACATATGGCTTTTGACTTGTTGCTAGAAACACACAGCCTGTTCTCCATTAAGACATTTTCCTCCCATTATGAACCATCTACTAAGTCAACTCTCTGCAGAACAAGGTAAACCTTGTCACCCCTACCACTGATAGGCAAAAGTGCAGCGTAAGAGTGATCACGAGAAATGAAGCCTTAGATAGAAGGTGCAGGTTTGTGTTGTGGGAAGCCTAGATGAACTTTGTAAAACATACTAGGAAAAACAAACAGGAACTTACTTTGTTGGCCTTAAGTGCTTTTCTGAACTGCGTGTCTAACTTTCAGAAGGACATGATCATAAACACAAAATGGCTGACAAGACGATTTTAACTGCTCTGACTGGAATGGTGGCTACAAATGACTTGGCCAAGGCCTTCTCCTTGGCTCTCGATCATAAACACTTCACTTGCACTTAAACTATTCAAGTCAGGCAGGCTTGTCTTAAACTCTTGCTGCACGGTAGATATGAATTATCTATATAGGATGAAAGGCTACACTTAGCCACTCACGTAGCTTTAATTTTTCCCCAACATGCAATACCGTTAAGAGAATAAATGGATGAGACATCTTAAAAGGCAACTGCCTTGATGTATCATGGTCCTTAGAATATTCATGTAATTTAAGTTAGTAATTATACAAAGATATAAGTATAAATGGAGAAGCTGTGGGCACATAAGGCTGTTCACTGAAGGATGAAAAGGTAATTTATAATGGTAATATCCGAAATAGGAAAATGTACAGTAGGGGACTAATATTTTTTACTTATTCCTTTTAGGTTCCATTTTGGGCGTTTTGTACTCATCAGTGCTGAGTCTAACTTTTTACAGGTTCCAGGCCTACATGGATATCTTGAAGATGCACTTAAATCACGCACCATACCTGTGATGTTTGGGAGCCAAGCTCACAAGAGCTCTTTGGTTCCAAAACAAAGTCATTGAGTTGCTGGGGCATTATTTACTTCCTGCTCACTAAACGGTCCCCCCCTTCTGTAATCACCCCATCAAGTTTACACAATCTACGGTGCCTAACGTGATGATACCTCCATAAATCAGTGCTCAAATTGCCTGTTGTTGCTAAATTGCCCAGGTGATGAATGTCCTCCTGCACCTTCTTGGTGCAGAATATTTTGATTGATTTAACAAAGGTTCCGATTCCGTCAAGGGCTGTGAAAGGCTCCATGGCATTGAGGAACAACATCTGAGGACTCAGAGCAAACCTCGTGTTAAAAAGAAACAACAGCGCATGGCAAAGGCTCGGATGGAGGCAGGTCTGCCACCCCACAGTTACCTCCCATTAGCAACCAAAAGGTATTGATCTGGCATTTGCAAGTTACGAACCAACAAGACTTGCAGATTCACGCTTACCTCTCATCACACTTAATCAGAATCACGCTGTCTGTTCCAATCCCTAAGGCTGCAGCTCCCTTCTTGAGAGAAAAATGACTCTGTAAGAAAAACCATATTTTTAATTAGTTTCATACAGAGACAAGATCTATTCCTTGACTTTTTTTTTTTTTTTTTCTGCTCTTATCTCTGAACTTTGCCTCCAAAACCTGGACTGCTAAGAGAGGGTAGCATCCTTCACTTGTGGGGCCCTCTTTTCTTTTCAGTCGTGGTGAAATATACATAACTGATACTAAAACTTTATACCCATTTAATGAACCTCCCCATCCTCCCATCCCATGGCAACCTCCATTCTACTTTCTGTCTCTGTGAATCTGACTACTCTACTTCATGTAGAATCAGAGTATTTGACATTTTATGACTGGTATATTTCACTTAGTATAATGTCCTCAAGGTTCATTCATGTTGTAGCACGTCAGAACTTCTTTCCTTCCTTTTAAGAATGAACAACATCCCACGTGTATATATACTGTATTTCATGTATTCATCCATCCGTGGACACTGGGCTGCTTCCACCTTTTGGGCATTATGAATAACACTGCTGCGAACATGAGGAATTGCTGGATCATACGGCACTTCTGTTTTTAACTTTTTGAAAAACTGCCATACTGTTTTCCACAGTGACTGCACCAATTTACATTCCCACAAGCAGTGGACAAGGGTTCTAGTTCCTCTGCATCCTCACCAACATTTGCAAGTTTCTGCTTTTTGATAGCAGTTATCTTGGTGGATATAAGGGAGTAATTCACTGTGGGTTTGATCTGCATTTGTCTAATGATTAGTGATGTCGAGCTTATCGGCCATTTGTACATCTTTGGAGAAAAGCTCGCTCAAGTCCTCTGCCTCTGTTGAGTGGGATTGTTTATGTTTCGCTATGGTTCCTGAATTCACTGGGCTTTTGAAGGAAGATGATGACATGCTGGAAACTGCCAGTGAAACTGACACCACAGCACCTAGTAACTCCAAGTGAATTTTACATGAAGGGACAAGAACCTTCACCAGCTAGGTACTCTCTGGCTCCCAGACTTACATTTTGCTGCCAAGAGATTATGCTCAATTTTTTACGATTGCGCATAGTTAAGAGGAGAGGTTGGCCCTAAATCAGCACTCTTCATCCCAGAGCTGGTGGAGGGGCTATCTGTGTAGCGACTGCCCATCCTGGGGCAGGCTCAGGAAGGAGACATGAGTTACTGGCTGGGGTAAAATGACCTGTCTGTGTGCAGAGAAGAGGCCACACTGACAAGCCACCATCAAACCTTTGTGCTCTTGGTTATGGATTCTGGATAGAATTCTGTATTTCAATGGCTGTAATCACTGTGCCATTTGGAGAGCTGAAAAAGGCTAACCTCAGCCCAGCTGTACTGCATCTGCCCATCAGCCTCTTACTATTAACTACAGATCATTAAGCTGTCCAAAAGGAGAGCTGCTTCCTCAATTTACATCTCCAAAGGGTTGCTGACTGGAATTTTAAGTTATGGTTCCAAAGAGTGAACACTCTCTGAATGCCCACTTTTGACTCATCTGAATTCTTAAATATGCAGCACAGGACCCCTTAACACATATAGTTTTAGGGGGTCTGCCTAATAGGCAAGAAGGAATCGTATTTACAACGACAGCAAATATTGTTAACCAATAAAAGAGACGCGGAGTGGAGGCGCTGAAGTAGCCTGCTCTAGCGCGAGGTTAAGCGAAAGGGCCATTTGCCTGGTTTTACAACCTCAGACTGACAAGTAGACAATCATTACCAATATACCTGGGAACCAGGAGACGGAGTTTAATTGGACCAGGGTTTGTAAAGATGTATGACTCCCTCCACCCCTCAAAAAACTGTTCTCTCACTTGCATTTAGCAGATCCACAGGGGTCCTCAAAGACAAGGAGCGCAGAGGAAAACAGCACTCTCTTCCAGCCAGATTTAGAGATCAGAGGCGCCAGCTGCCCCCACTGGGCACACACAAGCTACTCAAATTATGCCCCTCAGTGAATGAGCTCTTACGCACTAAGCTGCAAAATGGCAAATTGAGGGTAAGTAAGAGATCTGGTGCACCTGGTCAATGAGAGGAAGTATTCTTGTCTGGTCTTTAATGAGAAAGAATAGGGGTTCTTAAATGAGGAGCAATTACCCAGGATAATTGATCAGTGTACCAAATGCCACAGACTTAAAGAAAAACACATGCCCAAACAGAAAGCTTAAAGATGGGGAACAAAGGTGATATGAGGCATGAAAAAGAAAATTAGGTCCCAAATACTGAGTCTGTTTATATTTTCAGGAAAGGAAGCACAGAAAATAGCTCAATGTTTTCCACAAATAGCAAGGGACCCGTGGAGAGGAAGAAACTTGAGAGGGAAAGAAAGACACTATTTAATGAAGAAGAACAGGTGAAGACAGCTTAAGTGGCTTGTTTCTCCATGCTGGGGAGACAGCACATGGAGGATCATTCTTAATCCTCGGCACCACATTTAATGGGGCACTTGATGAGCTGGAGGACAATGCCAACAAACCTCCTGGGTGCTAAGGAGCCTGCAAAGCAGGTGTCCAGAAGCACTCAAAGGGTGCCGGGCCATGAGCAGAGGGCACGAAGACACATGGCCTGGGTGGCCTAAATGTCTGAGGGCCTGTGCCAAGGGGGGTACAGGGAACGGATTGCTCTGGGTGCCTTTGGAAGGCAGCATTATAAACAAAAACTGGAAGGTACAAGTATTCGCATTTGTCCCCAAATAGTCATGCCTCTCCTGATGGTCCATGGCTCATCGATAGCATGGCTGAGAGATGAGCTAGGAGCAACTCCCCCACCCCCGATTTGAGAAAAAGAATAGACCCTTGATAGAATCTACTGCTTATTTAGAACTAAGCTGTATTTCTACTCAAGACTAATAAATGTTAAAACCCATATAATTTTTATTTTATACTAAATAAAAAAAAACAAGGTTGACAAAGAGTAATTTCTCTATTGTAAAATATATATAGGTCATCTGGACACAGATTTCATGATTCAGCTTGTATTTAAAATGTGCAGGTAGACATGAGACTTCACAATTATAAAATACTTGTAATTTAAACAAAATAAGCAGGCTTTCTAGGTTTGAGTGGGATGAGAACACCCGGCGTGAGAGAACTCACCAGCCTGGAGGAGGGCCAGGAGCCCTGCCAGTCCACTTAGACCTATGGCAGGAGGATGCAGTGCTAGCGCCTCTGCTCTTTAATGGGACAATGAATCTTGCCTTCCTTTAGGGACAGTGGAAGGGTAAGGCAAAGGGTAGAAAGCGCAGACACAAGCCAGTTCAGAGTCTCTGCATGCCAGTCTCTCTTCCCTTATTTGAGTTTAGATAAAAAGTTTGGAGAACTGCCTTAATTCCTCCAAGTCATTCTTAGTCACATCCAAATATTTAACTGAAACTCCAGTTCAACTGCCTAGGGATTACAGGGCTTCTAGGAAAGCATTTGCGAGGCTGGGAGGACACAAAGATTATTAAGACAACCCTCAGTACCTGGCTCCTCCCACACTCCATCTCAGACCTTCTCCTGCCATCTCTCCTGCTGGTGCTCCTGGCCTTCCTGGTTTTCTGTAAGCTTACTCAGCTTCTTCTTTCTTGGTAGGTCTTTGTACTTGCTGTTCTGTTTTTCTGGAAAACCTTCCCTCAGATATTTATACGTTTCCTGCCTTCGTTCAGTGTAGGTCTCTGCTCACACGCTGCCTCCACAGAGAAACCGTCTTGTAAAATAGCCCACTACTGCCCACTTTCTTGTTACTACATGAGATCACGCAAATATTTATTAGTTTACTCTCTGTCCTCTTTTAGGGCATAGGAGGCTGCACAAGGGCAGGCATTGTCATAGTGCATAGTTGATAAACACTTGTTGAATTTGTTGCCCATATGCTCAGGACAGGCCTAGGAAAATGTCCATTATTTATAAACCTCTGGCCATAAATCTCCATGTTGAGGTGTAGATTTGGAGCCAGATAACATTAGGTCAAATGGAACCTGATGGCTTTAATCCAAGGCCCATTGTAAAGTTAAGTGCAGAGGTCTTCCTGGCATCTTCCTCTCCCATAGAGCTAACCAGACCAGCTGATTGGAGAAAGAAAGAAACAACAAAGAGACTTCAAACAAAGAAGGAGAAAGGACATACTAGTTTGAAAATCTCAGCTCTTGGATATTCGGATATTGTATCAAATGTTCTTTCTTCCAGCTCTAAGATCTGCCAATTATCTTGAACTCGATATTCCTTCCCACATGGGTGGAGTACATGGGAGTGTGCAGAGGAACCAGGAAAAGAAGCGAATGGAGATCATTACACAACAAGACCTCCAACAGCAGATCTGAAAGCCCAGCTTATGAATGAGCTGGAATGACTTCTTTGATCTTTTCACAAGCCTTGGGGGCTTTGACACTCTCCCATGCCCTCCCCCTGCTCCCTCAGTGGCTACAGCAACAGCAGTAGTCCCTTGTCCTCCTCGTTTGCACCTCTCACATACCCATTAGCTTGTCTCCAAAGATTTGGAGGACATGATGGCCTCTGCCTTAGGAAGACTGGTAGCTTCTGTTCTTGCTTCTGCTATCAACTGGCCTAAAACAGCCTTGTCCTTTCTACAGCATCTGATTTACAGATAAGCTTAGACTGAGACTGCCTGATTGAATTCTAAATGGGATTTGGAGGGGAAAGGATTCACCCAGCCATAAACACTTCATATGATTCAGAGGTGATGTGGATCTGCATACAAGTAATTTCTGTAAAGTGGCTTTTTTTAAATTCACATTCAATTCTTTTGTTTGTTTATTTGTTTGTCATAGGGTACATGCATGCTCCAGATAGAGACAGTGAGAGGGAAGGTGAGAAATCCACAAGAGAATGGCCATGCCACAATCCCTTCTCCTCCATTCTCCACCTGGGATTCTGGGAACACACACATGTGCCTGGCATAATTTTCAAGCCTTGAGGTCCAGGACTAGAACTACATCAGCCGTGTGGGAGTCCAGTGCCTTACCCATTTTGCCACCTGCTGCCCCCACACTCAATTCTAACTAGTACTTTAAAGTCA